GCATATCATATTTTTATGACCTTTCAAAAATTTATCAAAATATCTCACCCACTTAAATTGAAAATCCTTATTTAGGAAAATCACTATTTGGTTTTCATTCTTAATATACATTACTTCAACTAATTTTTCTTTATTTTCTTATATTTTTGCTTAGTTGGTTTATGAAATATATCTTTCAACCTCTTTAGTATTTAATTTATTATAAATAATGCTAAAAATAAACAGAAGTTGTTCTCTTAAATTCATTATGAACCATTTTATATTTTTCCCAATTCTCTGAACCTTTACCTCTAAACAAATTTTTATAATGAAATTTAATATTTTTTATCTTTTATCATTGTTATTTCACCATCGATTACTTTTATTCATGAGTGTTTTTTCTTTGGATTCTTCAAGCACATTTTTTTACATCTTCTTAATAATACTCATTACTTTATCTCATATCTTATTAGATATTTCGTGATCACATATATTAATTTCTTAAAGTTTACTCATAAAAATAATTTTATTTATCTTTTAAATGTTTCATCTAAATACAAGATAATAATTCGTTATATTATTCATCTTCTAACACTTTATTTTTAAATCCAAAACCAATAATCGATGTTAGAATAGTTAAACTTTCACTTGAAACAACCTTACAAATTTTATAATCTAGACGATTTCTTTTCTCATAAGAAAATAATTAATTTGTCTTTTATTAGATTCATTCTTATAAGTGATAATATGCTCATTTTTTTAAATAAAGTATTAACAATAAAAAAAATATAAACTAAAGCAAAATCTAATATGGCTCTACCTTTTTTACTGATCACTCCAAAATCATAGCTATCATTATCTAAAATTTTAAACCACTCGACCAACACATCCATTTAAATATTCTATAATAAAATATTCTTCTTCAAGAGGTATTCTTAATTCTTCCAGTTCAATATTTTATTTATTTTTTTGAACATATATTCAAACCTATTTCGAGAGCCTAAATACATATAACATCAAGAATCTCAGCAACAACAATAAAGTTTAAAATTATAATTCTATCTTCAATTCGATTAATTTTTACAACATTATTTTTCAAACGCTTATATATAATTATACTTACATCATTTCTAATATGATTTATATATGAATACCAAAGTTTAAAACCTATGTTATCAATCTCATTAATCTTCTCTCCAAATCATTTAATTTTTTAAATGTATAAAATATTTCTCTTCCTATGAAATACAATATCTACTAAATCTATTAATTTACCTATGAGTACCTCTATTCCAATTTTTTTCTCATAATATTAATTTCATGAACTAACTTCTCTGTCTGTATCCGTCAATAACGTGAAAATTGCTGCTTATTTAACACTACATATGAGCACGCGGTGTAGTAGTTATTACACACTTTTCACTGTATTTAGGTCATATTATATACCGCTTCTAATTGACGCTCTAGCATTGACATAATGTTTTAAAAGATTTATGTCATAAGTTTTCGACAAAATTTTTAAGTTGATTGTCGCCTACCTAAGCCAATCCTCCACTTTTAGTATCCCAACAATAGTAATGTTTCCACCAACAATTCATTTGTAGCCAATTTAATCACAGAGTATCATATTTTTCCAATGTAATACGTCCATTAGCAAAGTGGACTTGAATTTGACCCACGAGGGTTAACTTGAGATCAATTTGTATAGTAAATATATTAAAATGAGATCAATTTTGTAAAGTTAATTGACAAAATTGGAGGGATATGATACACTCGAACTATATTGGCCACACAACGAATAATCCAAGGATTATTTTGAGATTTAATTTTTTGTTCGAATGTGCGATAAAGTTTATTCAAATTAGGTGTTGTGCATGTATTTCATAATTTTATGAATCTTATGCAGGATATATATTAGAAAAACCCTAGGCCATAATACTCCTAAAACAGGTATTGAAAAGCTCAAATGCGACCATATAGGATGGCATAAAAGAGAAAGGAAATATGTTAGCAATTAGTATTTAGGTGTATATGAGCTCCAAAATCATAAAAGAACTACGTTTCAAAAGCAAATGTGTAATCACACATTGAGCATGCACAAAATCTGTAAGTATATTAACTTTTAGAATTTAATCTTGACCCAAATACATGGCCAAATCTAGAGTAGGGGTACCTAGGCTAAGGGCATGAGCCCTCACAGGATCAAGTTTGGCCCACTAAGTTATTTGACTGGATGAATCAACCCACAATTCAACCCATCTTTATTTTTTAACTTAGGATCAAAATACTTGAAAAAAATAGAAATAGGACAAGTAGAAATACAGCAAAAAGAAGCATTTATTCCACCACGTGGGGTCGGCTATATGAATCCATTTTCTCCATTGTGTCCTATTGAGTGTCATATTTTCATTTAATTATAATACAAGACATAATGTAGAGAAAAGAATTACAAATATATATTTTTCAAAATCAAATATCCACTAGAGAAATCATAATGTTTCACTGAATTGCAACTAGGGAAGTCTATAATAGAGTTTAAGATAATAAAGCTAGATTGTATTACAGTACCCTCCTCAAAAATGTTTTTAGACTCACCACTGCTTAATTCCGTTCAGTATAGTTATAAAACCATTATATATTGCAACTTAAGTTTAGAAATGGTATGAACTCTAGATCCATTTGTTGTGGACTTCATATTGACTCAATTTGACAATATTACTATAAATGATTTATTCAAATATTTCAAAGTGATAAAAAAATATTTGATGTTTGAATGGATTAGAATGTGTTGCATCTAATTTTTTTTATTTTTTACAAGATATTCCATTCATCAATTATTTAGATATGTAGATTCTATAGGGTCAAAATTAATGGCATTAACTTTAGTGCGACATAGACTTTTACAAGAAGAAAAAAAAAGAAGAGGAACTATGTTAACTTTCAAAAATTGAAGATTTGAGGGCTTGAATAAAAAGAATCCTAAGCTAACACTTGTATTCAACCATTGTGAAAAGTGGTCAACAACTGTCACATCAAACAAGATTTTGAAAATCATAATAAGGCAACTGATTCAATAAGTCAGACTATTAGTGAGACCATCAAGTGGTTCTAAACAGGAAGAAAAGCAACCTAACAAAGTAGTAGAAAAAACAATCAAACTAGAAAACTATTAAATCACGCATGATTTTTAAGAACTATCAAAGTCTCAATGTAGTAAATGATTAACTTAATTTTAAGTCCAAATATAAATAAAAAATCAAACTAAATAAATCTGTCATCTTATGTATTATATATTTGGTAATATTAGCATTTATTCTGCTAATTGGATTCAAGATTAAAACATGGATATAGCACTAAAATGTATTATTATTTGCTTCATGTATATTTTTTACATTCAAGTTATTTTTATTAAGAAACTATTTGCATTAATATTGCACATATTATATCTTTTAAATAAACATTTTATTATATCATCATTATAAACTCTGAATCGAATCCTACCTTAAATTTGGACCCTAAACCTTATACTGGTCAACTGTTCAATTCAAAATTTAAATCTTGACATCCAGTAAAAAGCATAATGTGAGTCCATATTTAGCGGTGGTACCTATCATGAGTGCTGCTAGTCCCAGCTGTCATATGAAAGGTGCTAAAAGTGTTTGGGGGAGCACTGACTTGACCACTCTCCAACCAAGAAGAATAGAGGCTTCCTAGCTTAAGAGATATGATCACGATCATGACTACCAGAATGTCTGGCATTTTATCAAAAATTATAATGTATCTATAGGGTGGCAAGAAGAGCTTTTTACGAAAGTTGAAATTCACCTATGGCATCTTGGAAGGTAACATCCTATAAGTTCAGCTTTTAAGTGCATCGAAATTCACGAGGCCCTATTTAAGCGAGCTAGGCATTATCGCATACTTTACTAACAATAAAAGAGTTGAAGTTCAATTTGATATTTCCCCTATATTGAGATTTTAGAAGGTAAAAAATATTGATATTTGTGATTAATGCATAATTGTTTCAAGTAATATCGATGCTACATTTTTTTTTTCATTCGACACCTAATTCTTTAAATTTACATGCAAGTCAACCTTTTCATCCAAAAGCAACCAATAGAGTTGACTCGGTTTAGCAAGTAACAGCTAGGCAATGCATGATCATTAGGCAACACAGTAATCAATTCAGCGAGTTATGGTTTTAAAAGAGGAAGGAGGAGACTTAAGATGGCGAAGTTTAATGGAATCCTTCTGAAATATTTGGTAAAATAAAGCTAAGGTTGACATGTTAAAAGAGAAAAAAAAAACCTGTTAAGGCTAGCAATCAAGAAAAGAATAAATGTCTTCTTTTAACTATAATTTTAGATGCCTATAAATCATCAAACTGTTTATGTCAATAAAGAGTATCGACATTTTCTAAATCTATCCCAACTATAGAAATTTTAAGACAACTGAAATTATCAATAGGCATGTAGTTGTAGCATGAGAATCCATTTGATTCCTCCAGCCAAAGACTAACAATGTCTTTCTTCTGTACAGTTTTGAGAGAGCCATCTTCTTAGAAATAGAAACCTTGTCTACGTTTCTGCTTGTGAGAAAAACGTCATAACACAAAATGCATATGCCCCAGAAAGGATAAAACTTACGTAAGCAGAACCCTAATAAAAAGTTTGAAATAAAAACAAAAGTATTTTCCATTAATTCAACTAAATCAGCACAAATAAGCTTTAAGCTATATCCAGTTTCCTTAATAATCCTGTTAGTCAAAACTCAAAGGTGAGGCTGAGGCAGAGGCAGATGCAGAGATGTAAGTTCACAGATCAAATCTCCACGACAAAAACAAAGATTACTTTTGTAATCCCTATGAGTTCATTAGGCTATAAAAGAATCACAGTTCACTATCAAAGCAGATGCAATAGCAAGAAAATAATAAACTGCAAAAAAAAAATTCAATCATAGACAGGATTAAAGCAATTCCGCTAAGCAAACCAAACAAAAAAGATCTATCGATGATCTCTAACCTGAGAGCAGCAGCTCCTAAAACAGCAAAATCTAGCCATATCAATCCACAGTTCCAGCAACCCTTTGCTAGATTCTCGTCATCTACCTCGTCTCCCAACCCCGAAACGCGATTTTTTAGCAAACAACACAACCCAACACCTCGATTGGCTGCAGGAAATCCACCCTATGTCCGCCCCTAAAGCTGTGGAATCCAATTAATAAAAACAAAAAAAAAGAAAAAAAAAACATCAGAAACACGCAAAGAAATCTGGGAGTAGTTTCCAACTCCCCATTCAATCTTACCAACAAATCGATCCGTCTTCTTCCCTCAAAAAGGAAGCAAGCCCTCAAAGACCCCTCCTCCCAAGTCTTTCCACTTCCGTACTACTTCTCTTCGTACAAGAAATTGACCTCACCATCCGCTCTCCTGAACCGCAGCAAAGCAAGTAGCATGGAGACGAAGCAGAACACTCATCAGGGAATCAAACAGAATAAAGAATCAAGAAGCAGAGTTATGCAAAAGAAGGTAATGGCTATTCGTTTAACCATAAAAAAAAGAAGGAGAAAAGGCGAAGGAAAAGAGGCGCACAGACGGAGTCGCAGTAAGACTTACGGCCCGCTGTTGACTTCAGCGCCTGCTGCAGAAGACGCAGATGTGTGTTCCCCCTGACTCGTAGTTATGCAGAGAATTTATTTTATATTGCGAGGCGCATAATTATTTTAATTCTAAATTAGCCGTACTAGACTTTGACCGGCGCTCATTCGTAATTTTTTATACGCGGAGTGCCGGTAGGCTAAGAACGAGGGTTTCATCGCTGAAAGCGCTTTATCAATAGTAATTTGAATTTGGCTGAATAATATTCGATCTTGTTCAACTTAATGAATAAAATAAATTTGAATCTTTAAAAAAAAAATTTATATTTATATGATATATTATTTAATAAAATTTGATTGAATATAAGTTATTTAATTAAATATTTAATAATATCATCAATATTGGATTATAATTTGATATTAAAAAATAAATAAACTTTATGTAATTTTTTTTTTATTCCAATCAACTATTTTGTTGATATTAGTTTATATTGGTTAATTGCAATGACTTAAATAGTATTTTTTTGTTAATTTAAACTTTATTCAATTGTTTATTTATTTATAGTTGTAAAATTATATATGAACACACATATATAAAAAAATGTAAGTACTCAGTTAAATATTGTGCTTGTTTGTCAACTTTAAATGACAATCAAATACAAATTAAAATTTTAATTTATATGTAAAAAGGGTTAAGGAGGCCAGAGAAAAGATTACAGGTTATATTTGGCATAATCAGTGGTTGGATGACAACGGGTCGACTGCGAAGAAACAACATATTTATGATGTCAATAGTAGAATGAATAAGTTCGAAGAGGAAAGAAATTGTCAAACGTCCAATAAAGTTCACCACCTCTGAGAAAATCAAATGATATATTACCAAATAGAAAAAAAAAGAAATCTCCAAATAACATTAAAAAAACAAACAAAAAGTTTATAAACCAAGTCCAATGTTGCATTCTTATACTAAGGCATAAAACTAAACTCTATTTATAATTAAAATTATTATTATTAGCTATTTTATTTATTTTTTAATTCATTTGAAAATGTTTTCATAAGGTGGTTGTGATTTCTCTGTGTTGATGGCCTGACTCAAATATCTTAGTCATAGAATTTAAAGCTATCATTATGTAGTGACTAATGAAATTATAGATCTTAACACTTTAATCAATCAATTTTATAAGTGTTCCTTTGATATTATAGCTAATGCTGTAAAGTCAAAAAAAAAACCATCTAATTGTTTAATTTAGAGTTCAAGGTACTAAAATCTAAATCTATTCATATGATAAAAAAACATAAAATATTTAACCTTCATGCATGAAATAATCATAATTTCTTGGGCTCGAATTATTATTACGTGACTGTTTTTAATTATTCGATCCATAGACAATATTTTAGATCTTACAACTTAAGTGTCATAATTAGTTATCTAATTAGCAATGAGTAAATAAATATAAAAAATTATTTAAGAAATACATATTAGCCAAAATACCTCAACAAAGATCATGTATGAATAAAGATAAATTAAAAAAATCAATACACTTAAGAAATACAAACCAATAACATTTTTTGAAATGTTAAATATTAGTATATATGCTATAATATTTTAGGAAAATCATAAAGTAAAATCATTATAAAATGGTTTCAACTTTTTAATTAACATAGCTAGAAAAACATAAGAAATCATTATTAAGCCAAGGATGAATAAAATTAACCAAACACAAATGCCAAATGCTAATTCTCCCAATCAAATTACCACCTCCTAAATGAAAAAAGGTGAGAAGAATACTATATTACACCATTTGTAACATATAAAACTATGCTAAAACCTGGCTTTTCAAAGAAAGGCAATAAACAAAAAAATGGAACAATATTGGATTATAATTTGATATTAAAAAATAAATAAACTTTATGTAATTTTTTTTTTATTCCAATCAACTATTTTGTTGATATTAGTTTATATTGGTTAATTGCAATGACTTAAATAGTATTTTTTTGTTAATTTAAACTTTATTCAATTGTTTATTTATTTATAGTTGTAAAATTATATATGAACACACATATATAAAAAAATGTAAGTACTCAGTTAAATATTGTGCTTGTTTGTCAACTTTAAATGACAATCAAATACAAATTAAAATTTTAATTTATATGTAAAAAGGGTTAAGGAGGCCAGAGAAAAGATTACAGGTTATATTTGGCATAATCAGTGGTTGGATGACAACGGGTCGACTGCGAAGAAACAACATATTTATGATGTCAATAGTAGAATGAATAAGTTCGAAGAGGAAAGAAATTGTCAAACGTCCAATAAAGTTCACCACCTCTGAGAAAATCAAATGATATATTACTCAAATAGATAAAAAAAAAAAAGAAATCTCCAAATAACATTAAAAAAACAAACAAAAAGTTTATAAACCAAGTCCAATGTTGCATTCTTATACTAAGGCATAAAACTAAACTCTATTTATAATTAAAATTATTATTATTAGCTATTTTATTTATTTTTTAATTAATTTGAAGATGTTTTCATAAGGTGGTTGTGATTTCTCTGTGTTGATGGTCTGACTCAAATATCTTAGTTATAGAATTTAAAGCTATCATTATGTATAATGAAATTATAGATCTTAACACTTTAAACAATCAATTTTATAAGCGTTACTTTGATATTACAGCTAATGTTGTAAAGTCAAAAAAAAAACCATCTAATCGTTTAATTTAGAGTTCAAGATACTAAAATCTAAATCTATTCGTATGATAAAAAAACATAAAATATTTAACCTTCATGCATGAAATAATCATAATTTCTTGGGCTCTAATTATTATTAAGTGATTGTTTTTAATTATTGGATCCATAGACAATATTTTAGATCTCACAACTTAAGTGTCATAATTAGTTATCTAATTAGCAATGAGTAAATAAATATAAAAAATTATTTAAGAAATACATATTAGCCAAAATACCTCAACAAAGATCATGTATGAATAAAGATAAATTAAAAAAATCAATACACTTAAGAAATACAAACCAATAACATTTTTTGAAATGTTAAATATTAGTATATATGCTATAATATTTTAGGAAAATCATAAAGTAAAATCATTATAAAATGGTTTCAACTTTTTAATTAACATAGCTAGAAAAACATAAGAAATCATTATTAAGACAAGGATGAATAAAATTAGCCAAACACAAATGCCAAATGCTAATTCTCCCAATTAAATTACCACCTCCTAAATGAAAAAAATGTGAGAAGAATACTATATTACACCATTTGTAACATATAAAACTATGCTAAAACATGGCTTTTCAAAGAAAGGCAATAAACAAAAAAATGGAACAATATTGGATTATAATTTGTAAGAAAGCATCTGAAAATAAGGGCTTTAAGACTAATGTTGCAGGGGCTTTGAGCCAGCTAGTTATATCTATCATTTAAGTGATTGGAGCAATTAAAAGAATTTTAACACCCACTAAAGATGAATGGACATAAAAAAAAAGGTTAAATTTAAACAGTCCTTGGAAAAAGATTGAGCTTTTATAGAACTTGAAATAATTATGCTAAAAATGTAAAACAAATAAATGTCAAATAATATAATTGTAGAATCACAATAGGGGCACAAAGCATAAAACCTAACCATGCAAACAATCCTCAATGATCCCAATGGTGGCATTAATCCCCATCATCATAATAAATAATCACATTGACAAGTTTTTGGTGATGGAACATATGATTAATGGAAGGTGAGTAAAATAACAAATGAACTCAAGTACATCATTTTTAAAAAAAATATAACCCTAAAATCACCCTTTATCCAACATACTATTGTTGGGCATGTATATAAATATTTTCTTATGGTGAGTTGATCATACTATCAAGTATTCTTAAATTTATAATATTAAAATGTATGTATTTATATTTTCTTTTTGGTGATTTTGATCATATTTTGTGTCATGTGTTGAAAGTTTTTTTTTTGTTATTCAAAAACCTACTCCTATTTAGTAATGCAAAGTTGTTTAATGATCATATAAGCTAGTCCGCTTAATCAACAATTGTGTTGCTATGGTCCATGAAATTGATGCTGCTAAAACACGAAATATTTCATATTGCATTGTTTTTCTTGCTTGACTTTTACTGATTATGGTACATTTTATGTCTCATTCATCTATTTGTATTACCCATGCATTATGAGCTTTAGAGTGATATATAAAGGGCTGAATAAAATTTATCTTATGCATTTATAAGGCATCATCTCTTGATTATTGATTTAATGATATTTCTATTACCTTTCATTTATTAATTTATATATTCTCTCATTCACAAGTCACATTTTTTTCATGGCTTATTTTGAGTCAATATTATTAGGTGATGGAAAGATCTCAGCTTCCCCCATAAACGAGAGAGAGAGTGTGTGTGTGTGTGCGAAAACCTTTCTTGGATGTCTTTTCTTACAGAAAAAAGAAGAAGTTCCCTGTGAGGCATTCTAGCCTCCTTTTATACATGAGAGAAAATAAATATAAAATCACATTTTGTACAATACAACGCCTGTTTGCACTGTCTTGGTGAAAATATTGAGATGCAGGTGTTGGGCAATGCCTTAAGTGAAAACTGACACATGTCATTGTGTGTAATGATGGTCTTCTTCCAGTGGTTCCGGTTGATTCAACCATATTAACAGGTAGGTATAGTCCGACCACTTTGATAAGTGGGCTTAGTTCGAGAATAATGAGCTCTGGGCACATAAGGCTTTTATGAAGTAACCCTAAAAGTGCCTTGTAGATTATATGGATGTATGTGGGTATACAAGTTTCTTATTGAAACTTATTAATTGTGTAATGCTTTAGGTGTCAGTAGACAAAGTATAACATAAAAGACTACCTCTAGACAAAAAAAAAATGGAGAAATTAACTAATAGCTGTAGTGATCTATTGCAAAGATGGAGTTAGAAATTTCCTCCAACTAAAGCAATGAGAAGAATTAATTACCAGTGATTGTGTTGGAAACAATAATGTGAATGTTTTGTAGTGGCAAGTGTCATCATTTATTGAAGAGGTATTGTCATCATTTATTGTTTTT